CTTACACATTCAGAATTATAAAGTTGATTTATAAAGAAGTCTAGCTTTATTCCTCCACAAATGATGCTTGCTGTATTATACATTCGTTATATTTTTTCTTACAAGTTATATGGCCGTATATAAACGGGTTGTTTGCAATATAACCCTCATCTAGCGGCTTGGTTTATATTTAAAAAAACAACCAATGATATAGGGCCATATAACCTGTCAAATGTTTTTGATAACTAATAATTTGACGTCACATGGTGTTGGCTGTAAATTATTATTTCCGGGTTTGCAATATTTCCCAGGGGCGAGTAATCTTTATAGACCTAAGAAAAACATAATGTCTTAGTTCTCTCCCCTGGCTGAATTCATGCACATGTTCATAAGTTGATGTATCTTAAATATAGAACATAGCATAACTGTGTTATTCTAATGGACCTTATGGGCCGTATATCAATCTCTTTGATTGCAAAATTTTGCATTCTCTTTGGGTTTGTAAAGAATATTAATCTGTTCGAAATCAACTCCAACATAATAAATAGTTTAACATATAATTCATACACATAGAGCTATGTCGCTATTATAAAAAACATATCTGTTTACTTCATCAGCTGTATCATTATATTTCGGTTTAGTTTGGCACATTTCGGTAAATGTTGTCGCCCCAGAAATCACAGACACTTGGGGTTTGAGACTCAAAACGCCTTTAAAACCCAAATAAAATGCATATTTGTCAATCCCAGCACATGTACTGATCATATATATCAAAAAACTTAATATAAGCCGTTTTGAAAAAAAAATCATATTTCAACATCTATAATAATACACAAGAAAAAAAATCGCCGGAAAAAATCCGCACCCCTACCGTCATAATCACCATGTATACTTAAGGACAATGAAAACGCACGCCCAGACTATATCATTTTATTACACGAAAACAAAACACTTACGAATCCATTAGATATATATTATAGATTTAATACAAAACGCAAACTTACATCTAAAAATAATTCAAAATGTTTAAAATCAAATGTACATCAGTAAATCGAAGAACCTAAGGTGAAATCCCAAACACTTTTTCATTACAGTAATGCAAACTTAACAAAGGCAAAAACCAAAATAAAAATCCAAAACAAAGTCGCTCATAAATGTCTATTTGTAAAGTCACCGTCGAGATCTTTTGAAACAACAATGTCCTCCAATGTCGTCGCCTCATAGACCTTACTACGGTGCGGACAGTCGCCTGTGGAAACTGACGCCATTCGGACCGTAGTTTAGTGCGAAAACGCTGGTGAAAACGAGAAATTGTCGACCGATGGACACCAAAACGGTTGGCGCTTGTTTGTAAGATAAACCAGACTGAATCTGTCCTAGATCTATCCAGCGGTTATTTCTTTGTAGAAACATTGCATACAATTTACTAGCAAGTCTTTAGTAGTGTTTGAAATTTAGCACCTTCTATAGAGGAAAAGTGTGTATATGCAATGTCTCTGTGAGCTTCCACGGTTTATAAAACTGACCATTGGCATAGTTTAATATTCATTTCCATTAAGATTTTAATTGCTCATTTGTGTCCTAACATTTCTAGAAAGGTGTGCAAAACAAGTTAATAATCAACAGTTTAAAAAAATAAATAATTTCATTTTTATAAAGTAACCATGAATTGGTTCATTTTGTTTTCCGTTGTGATCTTATCACAATTAGTCAAAAGTGTTACTTTTGATTTTGCGGGTACTGTCTTCTTTATGCAATAACTTCATTAAAATACAATCATTTTTCATAACTTTGGTATCGAAATGACCGGAATGCATTCGGTTTTATGAAACTGTGAACAAATATTTAAAAGAAATATATTTTCCTTGTTAAAATGCAATTATCCCGACCGTGCGTTTTCATTGTCCTTAAGTATATTTAATTCCATTTCCAATATTTTCACATAATCCTTTGGTCCATCGACACAGAAGATATAATTCTTCACAATGATGGTCAATTTTAAACTTCAACTGTAATTTAAACAGCCGAAATAAACATCAAGATTATCGCCGTTTTCCTCCATTTACAAAATCTTTCGATAAATTCAAACGTGGCCCCAGCTTTGCCGTGTGCAAAATGCGCAGCGCTTTTAAGATTGGGAACCAACATAATCGGATGGCTTCGTTCATAGCCGACTGGTTTTTTGAAGATGGAAATCAGTCGGCTATGAACGAAGCCATCCGATTATGTTGGTTCCTAAACTTAAAAGCGCTGCGCATTTTGCACACGGCAAAGCTGGGGCCACGTTTGAAATGGCACGTTTCTGTTTAGTTTGTACTCCGTAATGGTCCATTTCTGTTTAGTTTGTACTCCGTAATGGCCCATTCCGATTGAGCCCCCCCCCCCCTGAAATGACACATTTCTATTTAGCTTGCACTGAAACGACCCATTTCTGTTTAGTTTATACTCCGTAATGGCACATTCCGGTTAAGGTTGTCGCCCCTGAAATGACACATTTCAATTTAGTTTGCACTGAAACGACCCATTTCTGTTTAGTTTATACTCCGTAATGGCACATTCCGGTTAGGTTGTCGCCCCTGAAATGACACATTTCAATTTAGTTTGCACTGGAACGACCCATTTCTGTTTAGTTTATACTCCGTAATGGCACATTCCGGTTAAGGTTGACGCCCCTGAAATGGCACATTTCTGTTTAGTTTGTACTCCATAATGGCACATTCCGGTTAAGGTTGTCGCCCCTGAAATGACACATTTCTGTTAAGTTTGTACTCTGTCTGTTAAGTTTGTACTCCGTAATGGCATTCCGGTTAAGGACGTCGCCCATGAAATGACACATTTCTGTTTAGTTTGAACTTCGTAATTAAGGTTGTCGCCCCTTAAACGACCCATTTTTGTTTAGTTTGTACTCCGTAATGGCCCATTCCGGTTAATGTTGTCGCCTCTGAACTGACATATTTCTGTTTAGTTTGTACTGCGTAATGGCATATTTCGGTTAAGATTGTCCCTCGAAACGACCAGTTTCTGTTTTGTTTGTACTCCGTAATGACACATTCCGGTTAAGGTTGTCACTTGAAAGGGCACATTTCTGTTTTGTTTGTACTGCGTAATGGCACATTTTGGTTAAGGTTGTAATCTGAAACGGGATTTTTCTTTTTAGTTTGCACGTTGTAATGGCATTGGCATTCTTTTACCTAGTTTTCTTTTATAATGTCACAAATCTCTTCAGTTTTCAGTTAAAACGGCACAATTTAGATTTCATCTGTTATGGCACATTTTATTTTGTTTTCTTTTGTAATGGTTTTACTTACTTCTTTTAGTTTTCCTTTGTAATGACACACTTCAGTTTTGTTTTCTTTTTTAATGGCATACCTTTGTTTAGATGTTTTGTAATGGAACATTTTTGCTCTCTTTTGTTCTGACATACTTCTATTTTGTTTTTCTGTTGTTTTGGCACACTTTTGTTTTGTTTTCTTTTGTAATTACATACCTTTGTTGAGACAGGGTTTTCCAAATATAATTTCAAAGACCCTGGTTTAGATGGTTTTGTAATGGAACACTTATGCTTTGTTTTCTTTTGTTATAACATACCTTTGTTTAGATGTTTTTTTTAATTGAACACTTTTGTTTTGTTTTCTTTTGTAATGGCATACCTTTGTTTAGATGTTTTTGCAATGGTTAAATGTTTAGTTTATTTCTTGCAAGGCTTTCTCAATGTTATGTTTTCCCCATTAATAGCATATTTCAGTGTAGGTTTTCTTCTAAATACACACTTTTTTAATATAATTATCACGCTGTTATAACACTTTTCTATGTGAAAGTTTTAAAATATTCACACTGTAATCGGATGTGAGTCACATCCACGTGATATTTTATTTCAATTGTTAAGAGATTTGGGTATAAACAGACCCTTTTTTTACATCATTTGAATATTATTTTAGAACAGGATGTATTTTACGACATTTCAATTCATGCTCCCCTCTGACGGATTCGTCAAATCTGCCTTTTATTTATGTAAAACGAGACACATAATTACTGAATTATTGAAATACCCTGTTTTGTAAACATTTATATTAAAACTTGGCCATATAATGCTTGATGGATTTTATGCAAGGCAAACTTCCTAGTTTTATATTTTTAAGCAAAGATGTCGTTTAGTGGATGTTTAACGGTTTGTTTTTATTATTGATACCTTATAAAATTTATTAAAGCGAAAAGATATATATTGTCTTTGGATGCTTTGCTTACGTTTCAGTTTATTTATAGTAATCCGAGCATTAATTCTGAATATACGAGATATGCGACCAATAAAATAAAAAAAGTAGGTGCATGTAATAGGTACATGTATTGACATCCTTGACAAGATTATGGTAATAAAATGTGTTACTCATAGACAAAAATAGCATTAGGAAGTCGTGGAGTAATCCCCGACTGGTACAAATATATGTAATGTTTATGAAATACTTGAATATTTTTCGAATATTCAAAATATCCGTCAAATTTTCGAATATCTAACGAATCCTCACATATGCGGCAAATATTCGAATATCTGTTGAATATTCGAATATGACAAAATAGCACTAAATAAACATATTCTTGTATTTGCAGTCAGCTAATGAGGCTGCGGAGGCGTCAGCAATGGAGGTAAATATGCATTTTTTTGTCTTTGTGTTATAATTCAACTTTTGCTTTTTTAGAACTGAATGTTTTGAAATAATTTGATTTACACATACTTGGAGGTCTTAAACCGTTTTAAATCATAACTACTTGCTTAAGAAAATTGTAAATTATCTTTATGTTATAGATGCAAAGAAACGCAGACGACACTGACGGAAACTCATCACGTGACGATGAGGACGAGAAAAACGTGAGTACCACACATACGTTTGTTACGACAGTTCTTTGAATAAACAAGCGGTGTAAACATAGAAAAAGAAAGAACTTTATGGGTAAAATTAATTGGTATAAATATTTTTTATGTGAGGAAGCTATGTAAGGCCACATGTGTCACAAATCACATTCGTCACAATTGTGAAGAATGAGATCACATTCGTCACAAATTTTGTGATGCATGTGATCCAATGTTTTAGACAATCACATTCGTCACGAGTTTAAAATCACAAATGTCACAAATTTGAGATAAATATTGTTTTCTTCAATGCTTTTCACTGAGTCACAAACGTCACAAATTTTTAGGACTGAAATCAATTATTGGAACTAAAACTACAGACATTTTTATCCCCTCCCCCGCTGATGAAATCGGGAGTGATGGGACTGTTTTAGCGTGTTCGTCCGCCTGTCAGTCCAGATTTAGTTTCCGCACTATCCGGCCATTGATTAGTTATTATACACTGTATATGGAATCATTTCGTTTCCACGCTATTTTTCAGCAACTTCTGGATGGATATCGATGCTGCAACTTTGTAGGAACCTTCATTCACAAACCAGTTGCACATATAACCAGCATATCTCCATTTCTTTTTTAAAAACAGACTTATTGCCCTTGTTGTTGTTGTTATTTATAAAAACACTGTATATAGAACTATTGCTTTTCTGCGCTCTAGGAATTTCAACGAAATTTAGTTTAATATAAAGAGGAGATGCGCATCTCGAAAAATCTCGACGGGACACTAAAGGATTTGGTCCGACTTGAGGGTACGGTCGCTTATATGGGCTTTCCGGCGGCGACTTTAGATAAACACATAAACAAACAAACAAGATGTGCATATCATCATCATCATCATCATCATCATCAGTATTTCCCGTTTGGCCGTTTAATACAGAGTTATGATCCATAATTTATTATCATTTATTGTTCATAGAAAAGCATTAATTCAACCCTATTCTTCAACAAATCTGCTGAATAATTTAAACAAAACTATGTGGGTACATCTAATACCAAGCGGAGATGTGTATATTGACGGCACTTACCCGAAGTTAAGACCCCTGGTTGCTTAATATTCAGTCAGATAACTTAAGTATTTCATGTCTTCAAATGTTAAATATATCTAATTTTAATTGTGTGGGAACCTTCAATACAAAAAGGGCATGTGCATTATCGCCGTGACCTTGAGTGATATGGGCCCTGATAATTTATGCTTTAACCGACTATTTCCCCGTAGTCTTTATTCGAAATGTATCCTGCAATTGTTTAATTTTCAATCAGTATATGATGCTGTCGGCGGTAAACATTAATTCAGCGAATTTGCTTGCAAGATATTTGAATGACCTCGTGTAATTATAGCTTCGCAAGACCAATCATATTCTACAAGAAATGTTAAGTTTTCTTTAAGTTTATTTATTCAACTTCCTTCATGATTCTCATTTAACCCTTTCCTTTATAGATATTACTGGTAAAATAACTATATGAACCGCGCCATATTGAACCCTAGATGAGCCGTCAGTACTAAAGAACTCTGATATAATATAGGAATAACGCATGTTTCTTTTTTTCGTGTTAAAATATCTGTAGAAACCCAAGGGATTAGTTGGTACCCGACCCAACGTATCCCGAGGGTTTCAGCAGTTGTTATGACACGGAACAATCATTCGTTAACGCTATTCTAGCATAAAGCATGCATAAATCTAACACAATCCATACACAATCAAGCAACATCACTGATTTTCCTCGGATTGCACGGGAACGTCAGCGTTGTATGTGACCGTGACGTCATTTCCGTTTTAGTTAAGCAGCGTCCGGGCCACAATGTATTGACGCTGTGCCACGGAAAACGTATATCAAAAAGGTGTTTTAACAGCGCATGAGCGCTAGAATCTCCTTGTTAAAAGACCTTTTTGGTCCTGTTAAAACACCCGAAATCATGGTTATAACGGCAGTTTTATGCTAGAATATAAAGTAATGAATAACAACATGGATTCCAAGAAGACTAAAAGCAAACTCACATTGCACAATACTAGCCGCAATTATAATACTGCTAATAAAGTTCACGAATTTTCATTGGTTTAGAGGCGGGATATATTTATAGGTTATTACAGAGGTCTGATGTGCCTTTATTCGATTTTGGCCCACTAAAAGAGCCCGAGGGCTAATACCGATCTTGTAGACCCATATCGCATTAAGGCACACCAGACCTGTTCTATAACCTTTTTATTGCATGTGCTCATTTATGTTTTGGTTTTCATTATAGAATTAAAAAAATCGTTTGAAAACATTGTTCAGCGACAATGTATAATTTATTTTAAAAAGCGAGGGACTTTTGACGTCGTCTAATGACGTTGACGTCATTTCCTCACAAACATTTGTTTTTAATATATTTTGGCGTTATTTAACTGTTTGGAGATTGTTTTTCAAGTGTTTCTTCAATTTTGCTTTTTTATCAAGATATGTTTCAGTTAAACGTATTTTTTCTTATAAAATTGTCAATCTTTCCGCGTTTTTTTAGCAACCCGAAGTGGGAAATCGATATCGGCCCAACCGGAAGTCGGACCGATATCGATATTTGGCGCATCACGTCACCTGACCACAGTCATATTACATGGACAAAACTCATATACGTTTAAATTCACATTTTTTTTCTATTTATAGTGTTTGCCGTTGCGTATTTATAGGTTATTACACAGGTCTAGTGTGTCTGAATGCAATATTGGCCAAGAAGAGGTATTGGCCCGAGGGCTTTAGCGGTCTCGTAGGCCAATATAGAGGATATTACATGAGTGTCTTTTCATATTGAATTTATTAAACGAGTTGGATAAAATAATAAATTGCGAGGCTCTGCCGAGCATTTTATTATTTTATTCATATCACAGGTTAAATTTTGGAGCCGATAAACCGAAAAATTGTTGTTATTTTGCCTTATAAACGCGGTAAAATCAAGCGACGTCCGCTAACGTTAAATGACGTCGACGTCAAAACGATATTATACTAGTTTATTGCATTTGTTACTATAAATAGTAACAAAAATGCTAAGGAAGTGTGCTGATATTGCCCAAAGAGTGCCGATATAAGCATGCATTGAGCAAGTGTGCCAGATATCGGCACACTTGCTAGTGTGCCAAAAATCCATATCATGACGTCACGTCCGGTTGACGTAAACAAGTTTTGACGTTGGAGCGCTCAAGATATAACTTATAGTTAACTTATCAGCATAACACGCAACAGGATAGATAAAGATTAAATTTCTGCACATTTTTATATGATTTTATAGAAATTTAATGAGCAGATATTTAAAATACAAATGTTTGTGGCGAACGGAAAATGTGAAGAAAATAGACACGATTTGTTAGAAAACAGTATGGAGATAAAACATTAAACTTTGTTTAGAAGAATAACATAATTGAGTGTCTACATATGCAATAAAAAGGTTATGATACAGGGCAAGTGTGCCTGAAGGAAGATATCGGCACACTTGGTCCGCATTGGCCCTCGGGCTAAAGCCCTCGGGCCAATACCTAACCAAGTGTGCCGATATCTTCCTTCAGGCACACTTGCCCTGTATAATTTCAATTCAAATCAAAATTTATTGGCTATCGACATGTAAAATGTCTTGGGCCATATTTACAATAAACATATATGGCAAAGACAGACATATTGTATAATATATACAAAAGCATACAAACATCATAATAAGTGTTACAAAAATTAATATTTCAAACATTTAAGAAACAGTAATATTTTCCAGGGTATTGTTTCTTAACGTAAAAGCATCTTTAATGTATTTAGCAATATTACATATTTTTTTCTTGTTCTTAGTTGACATATAACTATTAAAAATATTCTTATTAGGCCAAGATACATTACAATGATATTTAATTCTAAGATTTCTATATCTACTACAACAAAACATTAAATGATATTCATTTTCAATTACATTTTGGTTGCACATTTTACACAATCGGTTTTCTCTAACTATGCCACTATAACGACCTGTTTCAATTTCTAAATTGTGCGAGCTTAATCTAAAACGAGCTAAACAGTTTCTAAGAGCGTCATTTTCAATTACATTAAGATAGTTTTCAAATTTAAACTCCTTTTTGAAATTGCAATAATATTCAAGTTTAGGCATAGATCGTATTGATGCTGACCAATCTTGTAAAAATTGATCGCGTAAACGATTCTTAAACATTGGTAAATATTTACAACTGTCATCAAAGTTAAATCGTATATGAGCAAATCCAAGATGATCAATAATAGAATGTATACGAGAAGCCCAGCAGCTATTAATATTGTGGTCAATAAGATCTCTATACATAACATAAATGGGAGAAGAAACATTTTTCATAATTTTTAGCCAAAAATTTAAAGATCGTTCTTTACAGGTAACAGATAACGGTAATCTACCCAGTTCACCCAGTACCGCATAGTTAGGGGTTTGTTGTTTTACACCTAGAACATGCTTACAAAATCTGATATGTAATTTGTCCACTTCTTTATAGTTATATACCCCCCAAATCTCTGAACCATATAAAAGTATTGGCACCACCATTGTATCAAATAATAATAATTTAGTTTTAACATCAAATTTCACTTTGTCAAATAGAAGCATCAGATTGTGGTATGCTCTTAATGCTTGATCATGTAGCGCCTTTACTGCATGTGTCATATTACCTGTTTACATAAAATTAATGCCTAAGTAAGTAAAGTTATCTACTTGCTCAATTTTCTCACCGTTAATATAAAAATCTATATTTACATCATTAGATCTGCGCTTTTCAAAAACACATATTTTGGTTTTATTAACATTAAATTTTAAGACCCCAATTTTTCTGAATAATGAAAAATATTATCTATTTGTGACTGTAGACTAACAGGATTCGTAGTAAACAATATAATGTCGTCAGCAAACAATATAATATACATAGATAACAATTCCAAATCTTTATCAGTTAAAGTATTAAAGTCTATACTATCGATAATATCGTTTACGAAAAGAATGAAAAGTAAGGGAGATAATGGCTCTCCTTGCTTCAGACCGATCGATACATCGAAAAATTCAGACAACTGCATAGTACTAGATATTTTAACACAAGATTGTACATCATTATAAATACATTTCATCATATTGGTCATTTTACAACTAATTCCGGCTTGAATAAGTTTTACCCATAATGCATCCCTGTTAACGGAGTCAAATATAATAACCTCTAAGTAATATGGAAAATATGTAATGGCTTTATTACACTCCCGCGACGTCAAACATGTGATAAATCGCATTTAGGCACACCAGACCTGTTCTATAACCTTTTTATTGCTAATTTATGTTTTGCTTTTCATTTTCAATATAGGGATAACGCATGTTTTTTCGTGTTATAACATCCAAATACGAGACACATAATACCGAGTTTCATGTGAATATCTTTAGATACTAGTTACAGAAAAAACTCAACACAGAGGTTAATAATTGGAAAAATTGGGTAATGTTATGGGTATTGGTATGTTAGCTAACATTTTCATCCCGAACACATGTGTTAATATCTTTTGTGGTTGTACTAGTTACAAGAAAAACTAAACGCAGAACAAGGGAAATAATTCAGTCAAAATGGAAGATTATGAATCTTGGTGTGTGACTTCAAGTCAATATCTTCTGTTGTTGTAGAGATAAAAGTTACACGCAAAAACTAAACACTGACTTTCTAAGTCGAAAAAGAGACACTATTCAGTCAAAATACATGACAGAGTTATGGAACTTGGGATGTGACCTTTCACGTTCACCTCATACACATATGTGAAGTTTTAAGTGAACAGCTTCAGTTGTGGAGAAACAAGTGAAACGAAAATAAATCTGAACATTCCGTTTAGCTTATATTAACGACAATGAGTAGGTAAGCTCTCCTTTTCTTGGAAAAGTCGAACTAAAATACTTTTGTTTGAAACGGAACATCGTAAAAATAGAATGAATACTAAAACAGCTTCACTCGCTCCTTATATAGGTTTTTTCTGTCTTGGCTTACTAGTAGTTCTAGCTTCCCGCGTGATCAACCAACACATTAAAACCAAAAATTAAAAACATAAAAAAATAAAACATTGAATTTATTAAACTCGTTGAATAAAATAATAAAATGCTCGGCAGAGCCTCGCAATTTATTATTTTATCAAACTCGTTTAATAAATTCAATATGAAAAGACACTCATGTAATATCCTATATTTATTTGATGCTAACTAATGAAATACTGTTCTATCAATGAAATATATTCATATTATATCAGTCACAGTGTGGTGATATAGATTTGGGTGATATAAGCCACGCCCACTCTGCGTACGTATTTATAAGTCTGGATTCCCTAAACATGCATTAAAAATAACTGTTTAATTTCATTCTAAATGACATATTTCTCGATTCAAATGTCCGTAATTTTGTAAGATTGTTGACAATGAGACCGCAAAAAGAAATATAAATAAATAAGGATTATTTTGCTTGCAGCGTTAACGTTTGCCGTCATATTGTTTACGCGCGCGTAGTCTCCGCGCTTCAGTAGTAAACGGTCTAAAAGCACTTTTCAAAAGGCACATAAAATAAAAAGAAAATGTGTTTGCTTTTCGTGAATATGAACTATATCTCACATCGAAGTGAGAAAATGTTCATATTTTCACTCGCGCTACGCGCTCGTGATACATATTTCATTTTTTTTCTCACTTCTCAGTGAAATATATTTCATATTCACTCAAAACAAACAAATATCCTCTATAAAATTCACTAAACACCGTCGTTTGAAACTATCTAATCATAAAAGGCGAAAAAAGCTAAGACGCGTCGAAACGATAAAGCGGCCCGCCACAAAGACACGATCTGTTTAAACGAATTAACTATATTATTATTACTAGTGGAATAGATATGGAAAGTTCCATAGAGCGTCTGCAAGGTTTTGGCACAGACTTGCAAAATCGTCTCAGGAAAGAAGGTTCCTAGATGTCAAAATGTGTCATACTCTTTAATTGAACCAAGATTCCTGAAAGTCTGCGGAAGTCAAAAGTCTGTCAGACCAAAAAAGGTTCATTGATGTCAAAAGGTCCTAATCTCTAATTAGATATCCTGAAAGTCAACGGGGGTCTCAGCTACTTCCCAAAACAATCATATATGGTCTCATTGGTGTAAATATGGTCATAATTTGTACTGAAACTAAGATTAAGTCTGTGAGATTCCTTTAGACTGTCGCTGTATGGTGGGAAGAAATTTGAGGGTTCACAGAGGTAAAAGATCACTTCCAGTTGAAGTCTGATACTATGCCGTGCATTGTCACCAAAATTTTTTGAAGGTTTCGAGAACGTAAGACGACTTGATAGCAATACCATTACGACAATGCGACAGTTCTATGAAGACAATACAATGCCGACGATACGATATTGCAACAAGTTAGTACGATGGCGATAATGCAATGGTGGTGAAAAGATATTGGTATCGTGATGTCGACATCACAATATCGATTTATTGCATTGTCGCCCTTGTACTATCGCACTGATATAACCACGATTGTCCTTATGATATTCCGTGTATCACATATTGAAAAATAAACTTGTGACATTTGTGATTCGCCTGTTTAAAAATTCTCAATTTTGCTTGTGACGTTTGTGATTGGCATTTTTACCCGATTTTGGTCAATCACATTCGTCACAAAAGTCATTTGTGACGAATGTGATCACATTCGTCACAAATTCATAAAAACTTGTGACGAATGTGATTTGTGACACATGTGGCCTAACAAAGCTAGCTATTCAGCTAGCATACCGAACGTCAGCGGTTCTACTTAGGAGCCCGTTCGTGCATGAAATAATGCACACACAGAGGGGCATCTGAGTGCTTTCTATACCAGAAAAGCGAGAAAATCTCCAAATGACCTTTACTGTGTTGGTGCAGAGTTAAACAAAAACAAAAAAAGAAGAAAGTTAGGCATCAAAACCATGTGCAAATGTTTATCCTTAAGTGTCTTCTATAAATGAACAAGCCATTTGTTTCCCATTTGTCATTTCTGTAGTTTAGTTTCTCACTTTGGTATGATTTAAGAAGTTTGCTTAGTGTTATAACAACATATTTGTTTTAAGTATTGTCAAATTAAGTAGTGGCGTGACATAGTGGTTAACGCGTTGGACTAGTAATCTAAGGATTGCTGCCAGCACCAGGGGCAAACCCTGTCAGGGGCAAGCCGTTGTTTTCGAGAGCAAGAAACTTTACATTCATTGCTTGGTACTTGTTGGTTCAAGGAATGGATTCGAGAATGCTTCAATAAGCTTATAGCTTCCAATATAATCGAACAGAGCTGCATTACTGGTACTGGTACTGGTACTGCAGTACGTACTGCAGCGATTTTGCAAGTACTGGTACTGGTACTGAATTACTCTTACAAAATTTTGCTACTACTGGTACTGTAACTGCATTACTGTCTTAAAAAGTGGTACTGCTACTGCATTACCCAGTACTTTTGGTTTTGATAAAAATTAAAAATAGCATCAATTTTTCTTATAAAATAAAGCTGTAAATTACATTAACTATATTTTATTTTTGTGAAAAAGTAAGTTATCAAATCTAAAGATAATTTGCTGCAATATTCCTTCAAATGTTAACATAGTATTCATCACAAAAAGCACCAAAGACTTTAAGTAAAAAATAAATTAAGATAAACAGACTCATTAACTCTTTGCCCTAAAATATCCTTATTAAAATCTTTTATTACTTTGTATTTACTAGTAAAAGAGCAAAATTAATTAATAAAATTAATTTCTTCTATTCTAAATAATCCCATTTCAAGTGAAAAAAGTGATATTGTTAGCACCATAAAAAGTTGTTATTTACTTTGGTATAAATTATTAAACAGAGGTGTGAAGGTGTGAAAGGCAACAAAAGACTGTTGTGCTTTAAATGAAAGATGTTTGCATTGTATATATACAGTTGACTGGTTACTAAACAATTAGATATGACATGAATATATGTTGTAAATATTGTTTGTAAAAAGTATGTTAAAACTATAAAGTTGTAAATATGTTATGTTAACTTTAAAGTAAATTATGATTCTATTTCTTTGCTGAATAATATTTGCAATTATTTGTTTGACACTGTATTTATTCAAACTTTGATGAATATATAAAAGTAATGGTACTGATACTTAATTACTTCACCAAAAAAAGTACTGGTACTGCAGTACCGAGCTAAAATCTAGTACTGGTACTTGTAATGGTACTGCATAATTTGCCAAGTACTGGTACTGGTACTTAAGTACTACACCCTCAGTACTGATGCAGCTCTGTAATCGAACTAAAATAAATTTGTATAAAGTAAATATATATTAAACTATTTTTTACATTTATACAGAGGGTTTTCTGGCCAAAATGTTTACTTCTGATGCTAGCGGTTATGATGTTACTGGCTGGCATTGTTGCAGTGATTGTTGTCGTTGATAAAGATGATCCAGGTAATCCAAATATTAGTTACACCAGCTTTGCCCGAAAAATTAAGCAAATAATAATAATAATAATAATAATAATAATAATAATAATAATAATAATAATAATAATAATAATAATAATAATAATAATAATAATAATAATAATAATAATAATGATAATAATAATAATAATTCAGCTATATATGTCTGTTTATAATACTGCGCGTTTGTAACGTCGCTTTTGATTGGATAATCGTGACGTTTATATAGTTTTATATACACGGCTGTTGTCGAATCATGAACAAATCTTACTTTTTTCTCTAAAAAATGATGCTTGCTGTATTATAAAATCGTTATAAAGATTGTTGACATGTTATATGACCGTATATAAACGGCTATTTGCAATATAACCCTCGCCTAACGGCTCGGGTTATATTTACAAATAGCCGTTTATATAGGGCCATATAACCTGTCAACGATCTTTATAACTAATAATGTATACGTCTTTATAACGTCGTTACTTCTATAAATTATTTTAATTATTGATTTTTAAATAATAAAAAACAACAACGTTTCAAGTTTGACCTTGAAACTTATTTTATATGCATAATACATCATAAACCTTTGCCAATTGATAAATAGTGTATTATTCATGTATGATTGATCAAGTTCTTCATTAAATTTTAAAAACAACAGCATTCAGAAACTATAAAAACAACAACAAATTTAGCAAATTGATTTCATTATGTTATTTGTCACTTAAGAAATTATCATCCATTAAACGTAATTACCTCAAGTTAGAAAAAACAACATAAATACAAAGATAACAAGAACACCATAATTTAAAAACGTGATTTTAACTGAATTATCGTTATAGACCTAATTAGCATTAGTTAAACTGACTTCGCCATATTAAAAGTTTAAAATATAGACAACAACAACAACAACAACAAAATCATCATCACTAACAACAACAATAAAAACAAAAACAACATCATCATCACCATCATCATCGCCATCATCATCATCATCAACTAAATCATCATCAACAACAACAAAAGCAACAACAGCAACAGGGACCGATCACCGATATATTACTTACAATTTAAGATCAATGTGAAATAAAGTCAGAAACAAACAATAATCAGTAATAAGGTGTATTCAATCTAGGTCATTGCGAGAAATTTTATATTTCTTTTTGTATAAATATTTTGATTTAAGAGAAATTCTATTTTTTTTAGAACCAAGGGGTAAAGTCATACCTGATCCAATAACACATGGTAAGTTCATATTTATATAGTTTATACTATATCATATAAAACATGTATCTATAAATAAAATAATTCCTTCTATTTGCTATTACATGTTTGTATCTTTGGATTATCTTAGATCTGAATCTCTTAATGGTTTGCCAAGTTTAATTTGTACTACAGTTTTTATTTTATCATGAATGGAAGTTAAAGTTTCGTGTTTGTTTAATTTGCTTCCTTTATGCCTCATCATAAACACGGGGTTATCCAGAATTCATCATGTTTATACTTTCTTTGGCGGCGGGGGATGGGGTATGGATTTGCCCTTGTCGACCCGTACCGCTGCCCTGTTGGCCGTCTATATAGTGAAACAGTACAAAAATGTTGCTACATGCGTGACCAATGGAGACATTTCTAGTTTCATCTGTTTAAAATTGATGTTACTTTTCATTGTTATGATTAGTGGTAACCGAATGACGCCAAGTGTAGTGATGTACAGTTCTTTTTTCTGGTAAATTTTGAAAGCGGAATCCTATACATATTGGGCTTGACTTTTTTTTACAAACTTGAGACTTTACAGACTTTATTTCAATACCATTGGCTAGACTAAATACATATTGTGTTGTACATGTACTATATTTTATTTTTATTTCATGTTTGATATTTCATATTGTATTGTATTGTATTGTGTCGTGTTGTGTTATATTGTATTGTGTTGCATTACATTGCATATGCAATATTGTATTGCATTGTAAATAATGTATTGTATAATATTGTATTTTATTGTATTGTTGGTAGCATGCTGTGGCGTTTGTTCAAGTATGTATCGTCCTTGCGCCTGTTGTCCATTATAATAATGAAAAATACATTTATGGAACTGTTTTGTCGCGCTGGTACTCTATATTAGATATAACTTTCAATGAAAAGACTTAGACATAATTCATGACTGCGCCCATTGTATGGAATTTAAAAAAGAGGAAATAATTCTATAGAATACAAGAATTTCTTTGGCTGAAAAAAAAAACAAGTTACTAACTGAAATCGATCCAATGGAAATCCTGACACCAAAATTGAAAGTGTTGCAGGTTTTGTACAATTACGGCTGTTCAAGGACTGCAGTGATAAAGTTATACTCCCATAAATACCGACCATACCCCCTAGTACCTGCTTAAACAGGCCTCAATAATTAAACATGAAAATGATATTTAACTAAATATTTTAACACACAATCATACAAACAAACTGTTTGATCATGTGACCAATGTTTTCTGTTTTCTTTTTTTCAGAGGAGTGTAAGAGTAGACTATTTTATCTTGGAGATAAATTGAACTTTACGTGTATCTTTGACACCACACACGAGTACAGAAAAATACTGACGAAAGCGAAAAAAGTTGAAGTTATACCGCAAAACAAGGTACAAGTAAGACTTAATTTCCTTTAACTTTCAATTTATGCTTGGGGACCATACGCCGATTTTCATGAAAAAGTGTCACATTGAAGGTTCCATGATAACCGCCGTATATATGAACACATCTGCGAATGTTTCTAAATTCAAAATTTTACCATTTTATCATTACAGTTTTCGACAACTTGCAATCATTTCTTGATAAGCCAAACCTTAACCTGCTGATTTTTTATAATGCATTTACAGTACTCCATGATTTCAGTATCAAAATATAAAAAAATAGCTAAAAGTTGGAAAAGTTCTTTGAACAGCTTAAAAAATTATTACAGAAAAATATACTGTTAAAATACGAAATCATGAAGTTGAAATCGTGAATTCGTGATGTTGAAATCGTAAAGTTGAAATCGTGAATTCATGAAGTTGAAATCGTGAATTCATGAAGTTGAAATCGTGAATTCGTGAATTCCGTTTGTTGAAAACGTGAATTCACGATGTTAAAATTATGGGCTCACGAAAATGAGACCGGAAATTCATGAAATTGAAATCCCCAGCCGTCTTTCGTATAAAAATCCATTTACAATATACTAGAATTCCTGATCAAAGTGTTTTCCTCTTCTTTTCTTTAACAGGTTCTAGCAAACAACTTATTTACGTATTTTATGAATATTACTGACGACGTTTCAAGTCGTTATGAATTAACTATCACAACCGAATCACGTGCTAAATGTAGTTCAAATGGGACATATGACGTCATATTCAAAGATGAAAAGAACAAAGCTATACACTCGGCAAATGTTAGATTCGCAATAAAAGGTAAATAACTAATCATAAACATACACTTGTTTCTAATATGTTGTCTATGTTATATTATGTTATTGCAGCTAAATTATTTTGCCAGGAAGCTTTTGTCGCGATTCGAGGCAAGTTTACCGGACTTGGAAGCGAGCTGTTTAGACAACTTACGATTTGCTAGTTGCAACCTGCCTTATAGGCAAGTTGTACGTCACTATCTGGTAGGCAACTTGCTATGTGCGAGCTGCATTGGGATATATTGTTGGTAATTAGCCTTGAAGGCGAGCTGAACACTGGGCTATCTTTTAAGCCACTTGCCTTGGACTATCTTGGAGGTCTATCTTGTAGGTAATAGTTATAGTTCAGATTTTAAAAAATATGGAATTTATGTATGTCTTGTAGGTAACTAGCCTTGAAGGCGACTTGTATCGGGCTGTCTTATACACAACTTGTCTCGGATTATCTTGTAGGCCCCTTT